CCGATACCGATTATTCTTTATTTTTGAAAGCCGATAACCGATATGTTGGCCGATAAATCTATATCCAAATTGTTATATACTTTTTGAGAGCCTGATTACAAAAAAGGTCTCATCATTAAAAGTCACATCCCAAACACTTCAACATAAGCAGCCTAGTTTGAACGGTGTACGTTTTAAAAATATTTTTACTCTCCCATTACCAAATTTAGTCATAAAAAAGTCTTACAAATAAATAAAATTATGCATAATGCAAACTAGTCACTGGACATCATTACACGTGTAAAGAATCAAAATGAATGCGCCATAGATCAATAAAACGGAATAGACATGAGTTGAGTATTGTCCTCTGCACGGACAATAATTAAATTATTTTAATTACTTTGTTGATGTGTTGATGAAAATAATAAGAGAAAAATACAAGTGGTTGTTGTTATTAATAATATATCAATGATTTTGAAAAATTAATACCTTAATACCACCGTTTTAAATAGCAGCCGTTGAGCTGCGCGTGCTGAAGCTGAAGAGCTGAATGAACATGGTAAACTGAAGCGTTTTGCTGGCAGCTTATTTAACTCAAGGAAATGCATCCTGAGATTAATATTAATACAACATAAACATAATATTACAACTTATATATGTACAAAATGATGCAGTTATTGCGTGCTATAGTCAGAATGTGTGATCCTGTTGTGGATGCGCTCTTCCCATAACAACGCGCTGAAACATGGCAACTAAACCCAAAGAATTCACAACGTTTTATTATAATAATGTTCTCATTAGAATGTTATATACACGACATTCCCAATCATAGTTATTAATGTTGTGCACTGCTGTTTGGGCTGCGTGTGCTGAGCTAAAGATGATCACTGGTAAACTGAAGCGCTCTTTTAACTTAACCAAACGCATTCTATATGAGATAAATCAGATATACATCAAATAAACACAATATTACAATGTACAATTGCACAAAAGGCTGCAAACGAACAGCGCGCATCTGAAGTGTCTCTGAAGGAAATAATGCATTATTTATCGGCTTTAAGATATCGGCCAAATTTTCTTATCAGGCCGATACCGATAACAGAAAAAATGAGCCGATATGGGCCGATACCGATATGGTGGCCGATATATCGTGCATCCCTAATGTTTTTAATCAAGTCAATTCTGCTCAAGGCTGCATTTATTTTAACCAGTAATATTGTGAAATATTATTACAATTTAAAATAGCTGCTTTCTATGTGAATAGATAGTAAAATGTAATTTATTCCTGTGATGCAAAGCTGAATTTTCAGCATCATTACTCCAGTCTCCAGTGTCACATGATCCTTCAGAACTGTTGTGCTGCATTCAACGAGTTCAAAAGGACAGCATTTATTTGAAATGGAAATCTTTCGTAATGTAAGAAATGTATGTACTGTCACTTTAGCAATTTGATGCATCCTTGCTGAATAAAAAAAGGATTCCTTTTTTTCATTGCAGTCATTCACTTTCTGACTAAATTTTCATTAATATCATTTCAAGCTGTTTATGAGAAGCTTTTGCTCTTAACAGGAGTCAGAAGAGGACCAACAGAGCAGCGACCACCATAGGAGTATTAGACCAGGTACCCAGCCATAATCACCATTTATTTATTCCTTAATTAATCCAACCATAGTCACAATTTGTGTAATAAAATGTAAAAATGATTTGGTTTTTATGTAGCAAGGTTTTAGTTTTTTTATTATTTTTTTTATTTTTTGGTATTGAAAAGTGTGCTGTATTATGACACTGAATATACTGCTAACCTGACTCCTGAGTGACCCGTTAATCTCAGACGGCAGAAGGTCAGAGTGACAGACGCAGACTGGCAAGAGGAGAGACAGTGGACAGCAGCGGCCCGTTCTGCCGCCCGCAGTCACAACACACTCCGAGCAGGAGCCTGACCCGCTGCCACACCATCAGCCAGGACCTGACCCAGCACTCGCTGCAGGAGCCCAACGGGGCCGACGTGGAGGAGGAAGACACACAGCCCAGAGGAAGTGATGCAGAGACCGCTGACACCGAAATGGACAGTATTGTATTGTGATGCACCTGATGTCAGATGTCAGTGGTCCTCAAACAACTCATGCAGCCGGTTTAATAGACTAAATATAAATCCATCATTAGTAAATCTGTTCCATCACCTCATCCTGAGCTTTACTGTATTTGAGTGTTAAGAGTATCTAAACTTTATTGACCTGAATATGCAAGAACTGTCACTGTTTTTCAAGGTTAACATTTCCTCATGCCTGTGGTTTTTGAGATGGAAAAAAAAAACTGTTTGAGGTTTTAAGGGTCTGTATGTGGAAATCAGAAACCGCTCCACGGCAAGAAGAGGAAGTTGCTTTTATTATGCCAATTAATGATGCTCTCAAATCACAAAATATAAAAAGTTAGCATGTGTCAACACTGGTGGGTGAAAGGCCAAAATAGCAGTGAAACAAGTGAATATGTGGGGTGTGTGAAGAGACTTTGGAAGCGTTTTAATAATATGTTGGTTAAAGGGAGACGTTTACAATAACCTGTATAGAGAGAGAATGTGGATTTTTTTTTTTCCCTAGCACTTTTAATTTTCAGAATGTCACATTATAAAAAGGGATAATTAAGGATAAAGTTATGTAGCAAGATTTTAGTTTTCCACACAAGTGTGTTTTTTTTTTTTACATTTACTAAGCATTACATTAGCAGAATACATTCTTTCTTTTATGGTATGAATCTCCTCTCTAAACAATAAATGACACTTTTTTTCCCTCTCTCCTTGTCTTAGCATATGGTGAAAAGGTTGCTTTTGTGAAAAAGGACAGTTTTCACATATTACTCTCATATTAGGAGTAAATGTGATGTGTGTAGGGTCAGCAGGAGGCGGTATTATGGACCACGGCTCGGTTTAAATCATGCACTTTATTCCATTGCAAGTTTTCTCTGTGTGTTTGGTTTTAGGAGCTAAGCTCAAGAAACTTGATTGGTTGCAGTTTACCAAAGGCACATTTGGAGTGGCGGGTGTAAATGCATTTTCTACTGCAGGAGTGTGTGTTAGTGGGGTCCAAATTAATGCTGGACAGGAAGTCATTAAATATATTCACACAAGTTGACCATGAAGTAAAACAGCTGGTTTGTGATGTGATTTGTCTTTGTATGGGTTGTAAGGGTTCTTTGTGGCAATTTGGAGAACTAGAGCAATTATTTTTGTAAGATTACATTTGTGTGTGTCTCTCTCTCTCTCTCTCTGTGTCTCTGTGTGTGTGTGTCTGTCTCTCTGTGTCTCTGTGTGTGTGTGTGTGTGTGTCTCTCTCTCTCTCTCTCTCTCTCTCTCTCTCTCTCTCTCTCTCTCTCTCTCTCTCTCTCTCTCTCTCTCTCTCTCTCTCTCTCTCTCTCTCTCTCTCTCTCTCTCTCTCTCTCTCTCTCTCTCTCTCTCTCTCTCTCTCTCTCTCTCTCTGTGTGTGTGTGTGTGTGTGTGTGTGTGTGTGACAATACATGAATGTGCCTTTTTTAATTTGTGCCAAAATAATGTAATAAACCCATTTGAAACTATATCACTCGTTAGAACATGCAGAAACAATTTTTATTTTTATCATTGTTATTATTTTCCTGTTACGATATTAATTTTGTTCAGGAAAAGTGTAAAGAATTCATGAATGTGAAGTGTTTGTCATGTTTTGACTATAAAGAGTCGTTTAAAACCACAATTTACAGTCTGGTTTCTACAACTTTCACTTGGGAGCAAAAATCTGCCTTTAAACTTGAAAGAAAGAAATGTATCGATAATTATCGATATCGACTTGTATGAAAAATGTATTTATAACTACAGCCCATAACAGTATACTATTTTTATAGATGTATAAGGTTGCGATCAAATGATTAGACAGAAATGATTTTATTCAAAGTGTGGCTTATTTTAGTGGAAATGGAAGCTCGATCGCATTGCTATATTTCATATTTTAAGTCATTACTGTTTCTAAATAAGCAGAACATGTGCACACTGCACACACTGTAAACATGCTGCAGAAATATATACTCTGCTCACGCTAAAGTCTGAATCCTACATCAGACAGCCTTTAGAGGAATTAGCACAACTACTATAATAGTTTTATGTTATATGTGAACTCTGAAGTCTTAAATCTCCTCTCGGTGCTGATCTGACTCTCGGGATGACAGAGTGTTCCTGTTGCAGCAGTAATGGATCGCTCCTTTACACATATACAACTTTTGTCTCGTGCCAAAACGGCCTCGATGTGTCCGGGCTCGCGGCACGTGCTGCTGAAAGCTGAGCGGACTGATGGCTGGAGCCGGACGGACGGGAGACTTACAGCCCGCTTGATTTAATGAAAGAGATGCAGGGAAATGTAGTCATTAGCATTATTAAGCGCGGAACGGTTTCACAGGCAGCCATGCATCAAGAGCACAGAGAGATATTAAAGCACTTACACTAAACGGACAGAAAAGAGAAATTTCCCAGAAATGCTTTTTGAGGCTCTATCTATCTATCTATCTATCTATCTATCTATCTATCTATCTATCTATCTATCTATCTATCTATCTATATCTATCTGTCTTTCTATCTATCTATCTATCTATCTATCTATCTATCTATCTATCTATCTATCTATATATCTATCTATATATCTATCTATATCTGTCTTTCTATCTATCTATCTATCTATCTATCTATATATCTATCTATATCTGTCTTTCTATCTATCTGTCTTTCTATCTTTCTATCTATCTATGTATCTATCTATATATATCTATCTATCTATCTATCTATCTATCTATCTATCTATCTATCTATCTATCTATCTATATCTGTCTATCTATCTTAATTATTTACAATAATTTATTATTCTATAATAAGTATTATTGTTGTTAATTATCAATATGTAAAATTATTATTACTATTATTATTATTAAGGCTGACATCAAGATTATTGACGTAGAGAAAACTTTTTTTTAAACATTTTTTATTGTAGCTAAATGGTCCAAATACAGATGTGATAAAATTACGTTATACATATTCAAGAATTAGAACATGTTTAAAAACATGAATGGAAATATACTTTAGCATGTCACACTGCTTTCTCTGTATTCTATTTTTCATCCTTCAGTGTTAATGTCTCCTTTAGGTCTGCTATGCAACGTGAAGGGCGGATAGACCTTATATTTTATATTTCATAGTTAGTTCAGTAAACAGACACTGGGGGGCAGTATTACATTAGAGCAACACACAAACACATGTACACAGGAGCCTTGACCTGTCTGTCAACTGATGACTGAAGGAGCAACCTGAAATCTTATAAAGCTGAACTCAGCTATGACAGCATAGAGGGCAATTCACAATAAACCATTAACACGATCCAAAAATATGATTTTTAATAGACAATTTTAATGTATTTTAAAAACATATGTGTAAAGCAATACACTTATAATAATATAATAATTATATACGTATTTTGGGAAAAGGAAGTGCAGCAGCATACATTTGAAGAACACAGCAGCAAAGAAGAACAATTACCTGCCTCATATAGGGAAATGAGCAGAGCATGTCAACATGAGCGTGTATTGACAAGATCTCAGAGTAGAGACAGCAGTCACTGTCACATGACCAGAGTATTGGCAGCTCGTCCGGTCTCGAGGCATGTGTCCCGTCCAGGTTTACCCCAACAAACATGACAGAGACACAGAGATCCAGCCGAAGGATTCCAGTGAAGTTTATCGGGTTTAGCTCAGTTCTAATGGGGGCAGTTTGAAACCCTTGAGGCTCTGACTGGGTCAGAGCAAAACATTTCTCTATTATTTATGATTCGTTAGGTTCTGCATGTTAATTGTTGAGGAACTTTGCGAAGATATATAGGGGAATTTGAGTGATACCTTCTTGAAATAATGTCTAAGTCACAAAGTGTTATGCTTGACGCTATGCTAATTTCAAACAGTTAAATGTCAAATTCATCTCAGGCTTTGGAAAATCCATCTTAGACTTTTGCAGAATTCCATATCAGTTCAGTATGAATTTGAATATGTTCAGTTATGGGCTGTAAGGATATAAGCTGCACAACTAAATTTGATTTTGCATCTGTTCTTACAAATAATCCAAATTAATTTGTCAAGGAATGTTCCAGACATTTTAACATGTGTGGCGTAATGTTGATTACAAGAGAAAATTAGTTTAGCTTTCATCTCTTTATTATTATTATTATTATTATTATTATTATTTAAGAATGTGGTATAAACATTAAAATACACTAAATTATGAAGTTATCCAGTCTTTAGTTTCATTCGTTTTCGATGATACAGGCAAGTAAATGCAAAGGGCCATTTCCAAAAATAAATACATACACACATACATAAGTTACATTGGTAACACATAACTAGGAATTTAGAAATTTAGAAATTCATCCGCCTAGAAAAGTAGTCCCTCCTTCAAAGGACAATTTAGCCAACTTCACAGAACAAATAATTAACAGTTTCTTGACAATTTTGCTATTAAATCCTCCATAATACTCACTCCTTTTGCAACTGTCAAAATAATTTTCTAAGGTAACTGGCATTATTGTCACGAATTCGGTCCATGAACTTCCATCCACTTGCCACCAGAGGTCGCCCTCCCATGATATTGACTCTCACACCACACAGACTGTTACACATCACCCTGGACTACATTTCCCATACTCCATTGCACTAATCACAAGCTCACCTGAAACCAATCACACACATCTGCTACCAATAGCACACACTATATAAATCAGTCTCACACGACCATTCAACGCCGAGTATTGTAAGCGCATATCGCTACCCTAGTCGATAGCTACTTTACAGAGCCAGTTCCCGGTCCTAGTTGTCTAAGTCTAGTCACGTCTAGTTTCCTGATTGCCTGTTTCCTGATTTTCGCTTCACCTGGATTATCCCTCTCATCCCGCCCTGTTCGAATACTGTTTGCCCCTCGCCTGGACCATAGCCTGTGTTTCGGATTAACCCTTTGGATTACCCTGTTTGGACATTGTTCGCCGGAGATTGACCACGCCCGCTCACCGGACTCCTCTTGTGTCTTGCCCTCAATATACCTGTTTGCCATTGTCTGACCCTTGCTTGTTTTGACTTTGTTCTAGAATAAAAGCTTTGCATATGAATCCGCACGCCTCTCGTCTCGTTGACGCCGTAACAGAATACTGGGCCCCACAAGGATCCAGCAGCTTTTCATGTGGACATTGGCCAGGTATGGACACTGCAAAACTTTTATGAGCCTTAAAGCAGGGCACACGCCTGCTTGAAGGCTATATTGAAAAGTATCTGGACTACTGCTCATGTTATTGGATTTCCCCTCTTGTCAATATCGCTACCCTAGTCGATAGCTACTTTACAGAGCCAGTTCCCGGTCCTAGTTGTCTAAGTCTAGTCACGTCTAGTTTCCTGATTGCCTGTTTCCTGATTTTCGCTTCACCTGGATTATCCCTCTCATCCCGCCCTGTTCGAATACTGTTTGCCCCTCGCCTGGACCATAGCCTGTGTTTCGGATTAACCCTTTGGATTACCCTGTTTGGACATTGTTCGCCGGAGATTGACCACGCCCGCTCACTGGACTACTCTTGTGTCTTGCCCTCAATATACCTGTTTGCCATTGTCTGACCCTTGCTTGTTTTGACTTTGTTCTAGAATAAAAGCTTTGCATATGAATCCGCACGCCTCTCGTCTCGTTGACGCCGTAACAGAATACTGGGCCCCACAAGGATCCAGCAGCTTTTCATGTGGACATTGGCCAGGTATGGACACTGCAAAACTTTTATGAGCCTTAAAGCAGGGCACACGCCTGCTTGAAGGCTATATTGAAAAGTATCTGGACTACTGCTCATGTTATTGGATTTCCCCTCTTGTCAAGCCCTCTGGATAACGTTCGCTGTCGACTGACTCACGCCCGGTTTGAATTACTCTTTTGTCTTGCCCTCAATATACCTCTTTGCCATTGTCAGAACCTTGCCTGTTTTTATGACCACGCCTTTAAATAAAAGCTTCTCAGATGGATCCGCATGTCTCACGTCTCATTCGCCCCGTAACAATTATGCCAGACACAGTCAAGAGAGCTTAAAGGGATGATTCGCTTAAAAATTAAGAATCTGTCATTATTTCCTCACCCTCATGTCATTCCAAGCGTATAAGTGTCTTTCTTCTGTTGAACACAAAAGGAGATAATGTGAATAATGTGCTGGTTGTTCTCGTCAGTGCAGTTACAATGAGCTCACAAAAGCACCATAAACGTTTCATGAACCGTTCTGAA